TCTCATTGTTCTGGACCGGAGGATCTCATGTTTGTCTTCTAGAGCTGAGCATAGTTTAGGCTTCTTGGGAGCCCAGATTGATTATGGTCCCAAGAGATGGACCACCTGATCTTGCTGCTGTTAGCTATTAGCCTCAGGTGACTCATTCTCCTGCTACCTGTCAGTCCACATAAGAGTGGTGAACAGGAGGGTCTGCTTTAGAGAGTATTAGGCTTTCATTATTTAATCTCTGCTTGATTATCTGTAAACCTGAGAATCTATTGTCTGGTATAGTAAGGTTTTTAATTTAATTTAATGCTTGCTTGTTTGTTTGCTTAATTATACTTTCAGTGTTCTGAGGACAAATATGTGACAAGCGCTTATCAGTGGATGGTTCCCTTTCTTCATCGTTGCGAGAAACATTCTCCTGGTGTGGCTAATGAGCTATTAAAGGAGTACTTGGTAACATTAGCTAAAGGGGACTTACAGTTTCCCCTGAAGATATTTCAGCATTCCAAACCAGATGTAAGTAGAATCTAACTCTGTGCACTTTTTCCCTTACGAAAGTGATTTTACCTATAATTTTTATAATAGAAATAGTTGTCCTTTATTCTTTAAAAGCGTTTTAATAGAGTGGTCTTAAGTTTTTTTTCAAGTTCATAAAACTTTATTTATTTTGATTAATTCCAAGGTTTTATTTATTATGTTCTATATATTGGAAACTGTCAATAGTGAGAAGACTAATAGTTGATGAGTATTAAATTCTTGCTATATAGTCTGTTTATAGGTGTTACCTCATTTAATCCTTACAACAGTCCTGTGGGGTAGGTACTTTTATAATTGTAATATTACAAGAAAGGAAACTCATGATATAAAGTGGTTAGGTAATTGCCCAGCCTTACACAGTAAGTAGAGGATTGGCTTTATAAATAATTTCCCTTTAAAAAGAAAAGGAAATAGTTGGACTCAAACCTAGTGCTCTAATTCTACAACTGTGTCCTCAACTATTACACTTTCAGCTACCATCAATAGAAGAAAATGTTCTGCCCTTGAGGACCTTCAAAATATTTATGAAAATCTTTAGGTTCTCATAAAGACATCTTGTAATTATTTTTACTAACGCATATTTGCCTAAGATTACAAAATTTATAGTGTTTTTTCTTTTTGTTTTTCAAGACAGAGTCTCAAGCTGTCACCCTGGGTAGAGTGTCATGGCCTCACAGTTTACAGCAACCTCAAACTCTTGGGCTCAAGTGATTCTCTTGCTTCAGTCTCCCAAGTAGCTGGGACTACAGATGCCTGCCACACACCCGGTTATTTTTTGTTGCAGTTGTCATTGTTATTCTAGCTGGCCTGGGCTGGGTTCGAACCTGTCAGCCTCTGTGTATATCGCTAGTGCCCTCCCCACTGAGCCATGGGCACTGCCCTATTCATAGCTTTGTATTTCTAAAGGGTACAAATGGTTGTTTAGATTTGCTGGTGGTAAAGTCATTTTGCTAAGGACAGCATGCTTTTTCAATGTCAAAAACCTCTTAATTTAGCCACAGCTCAGTGGTGATGTTTCAAGAGATAGTGGCTCTTTTCCCTTTGGAGGGACTTAAGCAGCCTGGCACAGTTGCCTGAGGCCCATTAGTTTGGGGTTCAAACAGAAGACATTTAGGATTTCTTTCAATTCTGAATTCTGTTTGAGTTTACTTCTTTGCACTGTCTCTTGTTAGTAATGTGAAGTCCGATAAGACACATGGTCAGAGACCAGTGCGATGAAAATACAACGGAAATTGTTGCTTAACAATTAGATATTTTTTTCTAAAAGGGTGGCCTGTCAGAATTATGTCTGTTCACTGGCTGTTTAAATTTCCTATCTTCTCAGAACAGTTTGCACTTAGTGTTCTGATTTTAAATTTGGGGTGGTTTACTGTGAGCCCAGGGTGGGTTGCTTAGGGCAGCAGAATACTATGAGAAGCAGGATGGATTGAATATGAATGTTTTATGAGAAGAAAGAAGTGACTTGAAATTCTTTCTAGATTTCTTGTATGTGATACTTCTTTGCAGAGTCTTGTAAATCCTTTGCATGTAGTCAGCTTTTTGTTGTTTTTACTTGGCAATTTAGCTTGTGCCTTTTGAATAAAACATATAGCCATTTGCCTTTGTTGAAATATACAAACATCAGAGCAGAGAACAATGATGTTGTTGGGCTCTTCCTTTATAATCCAGCTTCTGTGTTTCTCTCAATGTTAGCTTCCTTCAACACAAATTTGACCGTGTTGTGGTCTACGGAAAGTTTTCAGTGGCTTACCATTGCTGACACGGTTAAAGTTAGGCTCTCTGAAGCAGCTTGGAAGGTTTGATGTTATCAGCTTCCAATTTGCTCTTCAGCCTTATTTCTTTCTGAACGCACTAGGTCACCTACATGGAACCTCCTGTTACACTGTTAAATTCATTTATGGCTCTGTTTGTGTAATGACCTGTTTCCTTTGTTTGGAAGGGTGATCCTCTTTCTTTCACTTTAAAAACACCTGTCTGTCCTTCAAGGTCTGGCTCTTCAAGATTCTCTTTGTTGTAAAACCTTTGTTACCTTTTGTGCTGTGACAGGTCTTTATACCTTCCCTGTTACAGCCCATCACGCTGTGTTATAATTATTTGCTAGCATTTGTCTCTTCCTTCTGTTACGTCCTGTGTATAGCCTCTATATCTTACTTACCTCTGTGTTACCAGGGAATAGCATGTTGTCCAATAATAGAGCAAGTGCTTAGTAAATTTTGGCAGGGCAAATGAATGAATGGTTGAAACTGGTGTCAATATAAAAAATATATAGAGAACAATGTTTGGGTGAAAAGATTTTCTTTGGAAATAAGATATAAGAAGTCGGATTGCAATCCTGGATGTGCATACAGATCTGGTATGTCTGGAGAACAAGGGGAAAGAGGAGGTTATAGAGGTTGTTTTGAACGAAAGTTTCTTGGTACTGGTGTTCTTATTTAAATCCTTTAGCTGCTGGCTATTCTTATGTGACTTGTGTAGTAAGCTGCAGTTTGGAGGACATTTCTTAAGCTAGTTCCTGTTACTGGGCAAATTGTGTATGAAAGCCCTTTCTTACGGCCTTCCTTGGTGCTGTTCGCCAGGGTTTGACAAGGTGACTCTGTTTTTCAGTCTTAGAATTTTCATGCTTGGGTTTCTTTATGATGCTTTGGATCACTTGATTGCATTTGTTTGCTTCACTAGGATTGTGCTGGGAGCATTGTTTGAATTTTACTTGATTGTTTACGAAAAGAATGTACCTCAAATCTGCCATGAATCATGCACAGTGTACTTTTTAGTAATGTATCAAGGAACAGTGTTTTCTGTACCAGGCAGCTTAGACTGCATTAACAAGTTCTGCTGCATTAACAAATGATCTCTAAATCTTAACAGCTATCAAAAGCTACTTTCACAGGCCAAAGACAGTCTTATGGCCAAGCCTGATGTTAATGGGACAGGGAAAGTAATCCTTTCATAGGAAGAGGGGGATGAGTATTTGGGAACCTCAATCCAGTTGACCAGAGTCACAGTGATAACAAAATGGACCTTAAAACTTATCTCCATGCTATCTCATGTGTGCTATCTCATGCACTTTAAACTTTTCTCTTTTTTATAACATCCTAAAGCCCTCCTCTCTGACTTTAAGCCGTTGCTCTTTACTTGAATCCCCCTTGGAAAGTGAAACTTGTAAAGACATCTGGGCTAGTTCTGGACTGGGATGACTTGGGAACAAAACCTTCTGCCTTTGCACACTGTTCTCTGTCTACCAGACTAGTAATTTTTGAGTGTCTCTATATCAGAACCATGTGCATTTTTTTTAAAAAAATAGAGTTTTCAATGCTCAATCCAGATATAATAGATTAGAATTTAGGAGGGATCAGTTTGTATCCACTGATTCTGATGGAAAATCAGGGTTAGGATCAACTATTTTAAATGTCCATTTCTTCTTTTAACAAATGAGAATTCACGACATAGCTTTGTTAGGGGCCATCTTTTTAGTTTGTTTCCGAATACATATGCCGGTGAACAATTTAGTCTTAAAGTAATCTTTTCTATTTAATACTTATTGTAGAACATTTAGAAAACTCGGGACAACATAAAGATTAAAATGAATTTTTATGTCTGGCAATATTATTGACCAGATATTCTGAAAATCTTACCACTTTAAAATGTTTAGAAGTGCTCATTAAAATATTAATTTTTAAAAATATGTTAACTGGCACACTTGAACTTACAAAAAAATAAGAGAAATTCCTACCTGCCAAAAGTGAAGGGGAAGGTAGGAGTCAGAGAATACTCCTCAGAAAGACAAAGCGGCTATGTGGGGTGGGAGTTGCAGTCATGGAAGCTCCCAGAGGAGTGAAGTTTAGCACCTATCTTGAGATAGAAGAAGACTTTAAAGTGATGAGTTAGGAGTGAGATCTTTTAGAAAGCAGATTATGGGTGGGCTGGTCAGCTGACTAGACCATCAAGCTGGTTTAGGGGGCCACATGCCCCAGCCTACAGTCACCACAGGGATGGCCAGCTGGGTGCAGGGATTCATCAGCAGCTGCAGGCTGAGAATCAGGCTCCAGAGAATGATACCAAGAGAAGAAGGGGAGCTGAAGCCAGCTGAAGTTAAACAGTGCCTGCTGCCTGTAGGGAGAAAGAGCTCAAGGCCAAGGATGCTGTGGCATTGGGATCCCACTGTATGAACTAAAAGAGATCCAGGAGAAGATGACCATCCACCAGACTTACTTCCAACAGGACAGGGGTGAAGACATGAACACCTCTTGGCCTCTGGGACATCAGCCAGAAATCCATGAAAACTACCACATACATGGATAGGAGGAGAAAGAAGCGCCTATTCTATGGATTGACATTTTAATGTCCTTAAGGAATATGAAACTTCTGCAAAGCTTAAGTAATATTCTTATGAAAAGGCATTTCATTATTTCTGTGTATTATGCGGTAGGTCCCTTCCTTTTTTGAGAGCAGCAAATCTAGCTTCTTTGTGCAGACTTAGAATTTATCAAAAGATTTAATCTTTTTACTTCTTATTTCTTAGAAATTTTAATGGGTATATATTGTCTGCTTTCCTATGCCTTGACGCTCAAGCAACACTAACAGTGTTGACTCTTTTTTTTTTCTTAGATATAGTAAAAAAAGAAATATTTGTAACTGGCATGAAGCAGCAGTTAGTCTTAAAATAGTCCATTCTGGCAAATATAACAATGAATATTAGGATAATTGTTTGGGCTGCTTTTAAAATTTTCTTTTAATCAAATTAGTAGATGATGGGATTAACAGACTCATTGCATGTTACTTGGTATGCTGATTATTACTAAAAGTAAAGTTTTTGTCATGCAAAAAAAGTGAGACTTCTTTATAATGCCAGGGTGGCATCATCAATAAAATTGTAGAATAGGAAACTACATACCCATTGGCACATGAAGGCAGCAAAAGGGTTGACATGGTGCTCTGGATTAGAGGTGGGGGGGGTGGTGGGGAGCAGGAAATTTCTTTTTGAACGTGTAGTCTTGCCTCACATGAATTTGTGGTTTGAATTGATACTACTTTGTAATCTGTGATGAAATTGAACATGGGCTGGTGAAACCTGCTTTGCTTGGTAGTAGCAGAAGCAAAATCCCTTCGAGGGACTTATTTTCATCAAGATTATACAAGGTGCTCACAGATAAAGCCTGGAAGAAGTTGAATTTATAATCTAAGTTTATAAAACACAAAAGGAAAATAACTTTTTGAGCAAGATTCAGTGGTAGACTTTCTTTCACTTTCATTCTGATAGATTATCAGATGTCAGCTATGAAATGAATATTTTAAAGATTTAAGACATAAGGAAAGAAGAAAATACATGAGATAGAAAGGAGAAACTGTGAAAAAAGAAAAGTACAATTTGAAAAAGAACCAAATAGAACTTCTAGAATTGACATTGTAATAATAAAAGTAGAAAAATTAAATGGATGGATTAGAAAGAATTTTGATAAAATTTAAGACATAATTAAAATCTTGAAGATTATTTAAGAACTATTCTGGAATGTTACACATAAAGATGAAGAAATGAAAAATATACAGCGTTAAGAGATAGTGAGGATAAAGCATATCTATCATAAGGGTTATAATAGGAAGGGAGACGAGAGATGATAAGAAATAGGCAGTATTCAATATGAGAGTTTTCTAAAATTAATGCAAGATATAATTAGAGCTAGATCCTGAGGAGTATAAATGAAATACAGTACAGGCTATATTTAGAGGCACAGTAGTGTCACTAAGGATACCAAAGGCACAGAATCTTAAAAGCAGCCTGGGAACATAACAAAAATTACATTCATTGGAAAAGTATGAATTTGACAGCAGTCTTCTTAGCAGAAGACAGTGAAATAATATATATTTTTAAAATAGCAAGGAAGATTAATGTTGGTGTTTAAGTCAACCTATTATAATAGCTAATGATAACCAACATGTACTTAGTGCTTTTTCGTTGGGAGAGACTGTTTTAAACATTTCATATGTATTAACTCATTTAATTTTTGTAACTCTGAGATACAGCCCTTGTTTATATTTCATAGATTCAGAGAAATGCAGAGTAGTTAATGAGCATGCTCGTATCGTATGCTTCTTCAAAACTGTTAAGCTACCATACTGTAAGTTGCATTTCTAACCTGGGCTGTTTTACTTGGAGACACCGTCATTCAAACATGAGTTTCAAAAATACTTTTTTAAAGATAAATGAGAACCAAAAGAATTTATCCTTTGTAGACCTACCCTGGAAGAATTACTCAAGTATGTACTTCATGAAGAAGGAAATTATAAACAAAAAGAAAATAACGAGATATAAAAGGGAATTATCCAGGGAGGGTGAAAAAAATTACACTTAAGAAACTTAGTAAATATGAGGAAAATATAAATAAGCATTCAGTATATAAATCAATAATAATGAAAAATAAGGGAAGTATTAAAAGCAAGGTGGACAATAGTAAAAAGGGATGAGGCTTGTCGAGGAAGAAAATAATCTTTAATATGACAGACCTCTTGTTGGGAGAATAGTAGAAGCTACCTCAAGCTCATCTTTCCAAATCTGTCTCTCCAACTGTGGAGTTGGGAGATGATGGGTTTTTAACGGAGATGCCGTGTGTCTTGGTTGGATGCAGAGGCGCACTAGGGGCATGGCAGGTGGTGTGTGTCAGGAAGTCTGACAGGTCGGGAATACCTGGTCAGGAAGTCTGCTCAGTGTCCTTCACAATCTCAGCTCCTCTGTCTTAGAGAAAACTACCATTTCCGGGAAACAACTCAAAAGGTCACTAGTTAAAAAGGGAGAGGATTATATAGGGGTCATTGAAATTTGTTCCTTGGGGTTCATTTATACTAGGACAATGAATTTAAAAGTGGCTATTTACTGTCTCAGGAAAAGGCAGGAAACAGGGAGATCGAATAAGACAGCAGGGACTTTGGCTTCTATTTCAGATGATTTCCCAAATTGTCCCTTGGCTGAAACTGGTCTCAGCGTTTCATCTTCCTGGGCTGTTTTCTTACCATATATGACTTTTCATTATTGTGTTTTCTTTCCCTCATTCCTTTCCATTGTCCTTGAATGTGAAACTCCTCAGCAGGATTGTGACAGCCTGTGTGGCTTAGCTTAGGATCTGGAGCCAACTGTCTGGAATTGAGTGCTAGTTTATCCACATACTAGCTCTGTAACCTCAGGCAAATTACTTGACTTTCTGTAAAATGGGAATAGTACTAGAACTAATTTTACAAGGTCATTAGGAGGATGGATGAATTAGTGCATGCAAAACTCTTAGAAATGGTACTTGGCACATAAGAAGAAATCAGGAAAACTTAGCTATTTTTGTTAACTTTAACAGTACTTATTTTTATAGTACCCAGCTTGTCCCACTTTCCCTGGTTAGTCACTTTGCGGCCTTGGGAACTCTCTGTCAAATGTTTGTCAAATTAATGATAGTGTTTATACTGTATTGTTTAGGAAATAATTACAGGAATAAAAGGTCTGTACACGTGCAGTATAAATGCTTTTTTCCCAAATATTTTTTATCTGCTGTTGGTTGAATTCAGGAATGTCGACTGCATAGATACGGAAGGCCAACTTCCAACTGTAGCTTGAAGAAATGCATATAAATCCTTCGATTCCGCTGCTTCAGAAGGCTTTGTTACCCTGGTTACCTTGAATCTCCATTGATTTGATTTTTTTCTAGAGAAAATATCTTTGTTTGGTAGCTTCTATCCATTGCTTTTCTATCTGTTTTGTGTTTACTTGAGAGTTTATACTAAAATGTTGGAAACCAGTAGACTGTTAATAGAGAAATGATCTCAAGCTTCCATTTTGGTTTCTGTGGTACATTTTACATACATTAATTTATTTACTTCTCACAATAACCCTTTTGGGAGGTATTGTTAGTATTCCATTTTAGAGATGAGAAAAACAAGGAACCAATTGGTTATATTTTACCTCACAAAAATATTCCTATTCCAAGAATAGGAATCTGTGGTTTGCAATGGGAAGTGGTGTGTCCTGTGTAAAGTGACCCAGAGTAGCCATCTTTCTGCATCAGAAATAAGGAGTATATTCTATGATTTGCATATTACTGTTTTATAATTGGACTTCTTTTGAATAAATGTCAGTACTATGTAGTTAAATGGGTAATATATAATGCATACTGAAAAATAATAGGTTCTAACATCTTTGAATATTAGTTAAGGAATTTTATATATTTTGGTAATTGAAACACATAGAATTTGGCTCTAGGGTTAGAAGAATTTTTAATGAATTGCCTTTTTAATTCACTGTGTTTCTTCTATCTACTTAATCTTGAATGGGTCATAAATTGAAGAATCTGTTTTCAGCAGATGCAAAGCTTATAAAATATCTTTTCTAGCTGATTCTGTAATTAAAATGTGATTTCATTTAGAATTATTAAAGACCCCAAAAGTCTGTAAGCTAAAGAAAAATCAAGGTTTGCTTCTACATCTGATTAATTGCACTATTTAATATTCTATTGACAGTAGTACTAGGATATGGAAACACTGATTATAAATCCATTGATATTTAATACAACATGCTTTGTTCTCTCTAGCTGCAGCAAAAAATTATTCCTGATCAGGACCAACTGATGGCAATAGCACTTGAGTGCATCTATAACTGTGAACGTAATGACCAGCTCTCTCTTTGCTATGACATATTAGAATGTCTGCCACAAAGAGGATATGGGTAAGAATCCACGATATGCCCATCTTATTCTGTCTTCTTATTCTTAAAACAAATATATTCCTCAATTGTTCATCATAGAAAAATTTGAGAATATGAATATAAACATAATCTTTGCAAAATAAAATTATTCCAGTCTTGCTGCCTAGAGAAAAACTTTTGTTGTTCTACTAGTATGTGTATATGGGAAATTCTGTTTTGTTCTGCTGTAATTATAATGAAGTTCTGCAAAATTTTGTCAAACTTGATATTACATTGAAAAACAAATGAATGTACTGCCACCACCACTACTGCAAGAATTACTTTTTAAAAGTATATAGGTAATAATTTCTTTCTTTCTTTTCTCCCCTCCCCTCCCTTCCTGCCAATTTTTTTCTATTTAAGACAGTCTCATTCTATCACCTGGGCTAAGTGCCATGGCCTGAGCCTAGCTCATAGCAACCTCAAACTCTAGGACTCTGGCAATTCTCCTGCCTCAGCCTCCCAAGTAGCTGGGACTACAGTCACATATCACCATGCCCAACTAATTTTTCTGTTTTCAGTACAGACTGAATCTTGCCTAGTCTCAAACTCCTGACCTCAAGTGATCCTCTTGCCTCGGCCTCCAAAAGAGTTAGGATTACAAACATGAACCACCATTCCCAGATCCTAATTTCTTTTTTTTAAGTTGTATTTTTAATTAAGCATTTTTTATATTTAAGGGATAATTGTATTTATTCTATGAATTATTTAACATCAGCCCTTGCCTGTAGTATCCTATAAAATAATGTGTAAATATACATAATTTATAATTGCTTTAGTGTTTAAATAGAAATATGTATATGTAAAACATGCCTTTGGATTATTTAGTTGTATGCAAATCAAATTTGTATTTTCTCTTTGTAGGTCAAGTACCAACCATTCCTTTAATTCCCCTTGTAAGTGTAATAAATATTATAAATTTCTCATCTAGAGAAGTTAATAACAACACATGAAAGAGCGTTGAGAGAAAAGTGAGCAGGCCTATTTCTGAGCCTTCTTGATTGTCAGCCAAGTCACTTTACTTCTCTGCCACAGGTTCTCTCATTTGCAAAGCCCAGGTTTAGACAGGAAGGCCTTACTCTGTTTCTTCTTTCTCTTTACTCCCTTTTTTCCTTTCTTCTCTTTCCCTTTCAAAGAAATTTTCATTTTTATGAAGCAAAGATGGCAATCATGAATTTTCCAATCTGCTATGAAATAAATGTTCGTGAATCATTAATGGTACTGAAATCAGGTGAAAGATTGTGAGAAAAGGATATTTGCATGATAGCAAAGTATTACTCTAGTGACTTTTTTTCGAATTTCAAAGGTGAGGTTTACATTTATAAAGTCAAGTTCTGAGTGTTATCATCTTAACCGCATTACTAAACGTGATACTGCTTATATTCAGACAGCCTGACACTGTGTACCTCCTGCTATGATGTATATGAAGCACCCAGTATCACAGCATCCCTTAAAAATCATTCTCCCTAAAATTGTTTACCCTGAGTCTTTTCAGTTCTGCAGGCTGAACTAGTGTACAGTTAACATAAGCAAACAGACAAATAACACCATGAAGAAAGCCAGGAGACAAATACAGAATGTAGGACATTCAAGTCAGCTGGTGTTTTTACTTTCAAAAGGTAGCTTCATTAAGAAAACACTATTGTGAGGTAGGAAGGTCCTGTTCTAAAATAACAGGAGTCCCTACGAATTGTAATCATCCCCACTAATTTTTAAGTATATGTTGTAGACATTAAAGCTCTTTGGTGCCTGTCTTCTTTGTCCTTGGTACCTGTCTTCAAATAGCAAATACTTTCTTTGCTTGACTTTTTTCTTCTTCTCTTTACTTGATTTCTTTAAAATATTATGCTCATGTTGTTATTTTTTATTTTGCAATTTTAGATCATTATTGACTCTCTTTTATGGAAGTCTCTTTCCTTCTCCCAGATTCACTTGTACCATTTTTTTGGTGTTTCCTTTGCTTTAAATATATACATATTGTCCACACTGACAGAGCTAGATATGATTATATTTCCTTTTCATACAACTTTCTTTTAAATGTCTTGTATTGAATAATTTCCTTTTTTATTGTTTTCTTTGTCTTCATTCATCACGTCCACACTTGTAAACACCTTTCAGTGGTCAGAAATGTTTACTAATCCTTTTCTTTTTCTCTCCTCTTCTCTTCTTTCTTTTGAAACACTCTGGTTGGAATTGGTATGAATGAATTGTTCTCTATGTCTGCTGTACAGCTTATTCTTCTGGGACTTCTGTTGCCCCTTTCCTGTGTTGCGTATTGCATTTCTTAGGTTTCTTCTTTCCTCACTTTCCCCCTCGTGTTGATGGAATACAATCTCAAATAGCTTCCTGTCAAAGATTGCATGGGAGCTATTTCTTTTATACTCTCACATGTCAAAAAAAAAATACCATAATTGCACCCTTATACTTGGTAGAACATTTGATTTTTCATGGAATTGTAGGTTTATAATCTATATCCTGTTAGTTTTGAAGGTATTGGTCTCTCTTTTCCTTCTAGTATTATTCAGGAGACCAGTGCCATTCTGAGTACTCTATAGGTGGCTTCTTGTTTCCTTTTTACAGGGTTTTAATGTCTTCTCTTTATTTTCAGGGTTCTGAAATAGCACAATGATATGTTTTTGTGAGCCTAAACTTTTTGTATTGTTTGTTGAATGGTCTGTTTCAGTCTAGAAATTCATAACCTTTAGACCTCTGGAGAATGTTCTTACAATTTTTCCTTGGTGAGTTTCTGTATGCTCACTTATCCCCCCTCCCTCCCTCACACTCCTCTTATTCAGATGTTAGAACTCCTGAATTTTTTTTTTTTTTAAAGACAG